CTAATTTGTCCATGGGAACGTATGAAATTACAAAACTGACGACTAATTTGATGTTATAGAGCATCAATTAAAAATTTTAAAATTTTATTCTTGTCTTATATGATGACTTCTGTTTTTATATAGTATGATTTATTGTATTTTTTATGTCAAGTTTTTTTTTTACGATTAATAGTGTTGTATCCAGTTTGATAGTACTGCAGTTTGATGGTGTATATGTTGTTAGCCATGTGTTTGCCTGATGATGGCTATTGATAGCCGAAACATGTAACAGAGCCGTAGCGGGGCACTGACCTTGATATTTGTTGTGTTGTGACGGTTAATAAAGAGGTTGTGTATTGGTGCTTATGTAGTTTATCAAGAAGTATTTCACTGTAATAAAAGTTGTTGAGAGATGGAGAAGCAGACAGGCTCTAATTATTTTATTATTCAGATTTTGAGTGGTTGAAGCTTTTGCATCTTGTTGATTTTGATTTTCTGATTCCAAATTGTTCAAGAAATGATGACAGTTGGTTTGATACAATTTTTTTTTCTAGTACCTTGAGAAGAAACTAAGGTAATGGAACAGTTGTTATTCACTTCTTCCTTTTTCATACAATATTCTAAGCACTGAGCATTGACCTTATGGTGATCTAATAGACTAAACCATATTGTGGAAGAAAATTACCCAGGACATGTATTATTAGACAGTAAATATATAACTATTGAACATGATACTAATTATATGTCAGTCAGTAATTCTTGAGGCTTTATGTATCTGTACAAGAACTAAGAGCCAGTTCTGGCGAAGTGCTGATATTAGCAGTAAATTCTTCCAGTGCTGCAAGTTTGGTATATCAGAAGATCATAACTGGAGATGTTGGAACAAAAACAAATTTATGCTCTAACAATTTGCTTATAAAGTCATGCCTTATTATATATTCTTTGATGTGTAAGCTAATAATCCGCTGTCTTGTATTGTTAAACTGTACTTGTGCTCTGTCTTAATGCAGGTGTCACAGGGCATGGTGGGACAGCTATCTGCTCGTCGGGCGGCAGGAGTTATACTAGAGATGATCAAGGAAGGAAAGATAGCTGGAAGAGCAATTTTACTGGCTGGACAACCAGGAACTGGTTAGTTTACTTACTTACTTACTCATTGATCTGAGCCCTTCTTGAGGAGCCGCCAATTCTGCGGCTACTCAAGAATTTCCCAGCATTTTATGGAACCCGAAGGTTCATCGCAGTGTTCACAAGAGCCCTCCACTGATCCCTATCCTGAGCCAGATTATCCAATCCATACCATCCCATACTATCTCTCTAAGATCCATTCTAATATTGTCCACCCACCTACGCCTTGGTCTACCCTGTGGTCTCTTTCCTTCTGGCTTTCCCAGCAATATCCTATTTGCATTCCTCATCTCCATTTGTGCTACATGACCTGCCCACCTCATCATCCTTGACTTGATCATTCTAATTATACTTGGAGAAGAGTACAACAAGTTAGGAACTTAAGTCGTTTATCCAAGGAATCAGTCCAGGTCCAAGGCTTTGTGTTAATTTTCATAACATACTGATTTTTTACGGTGAGGAGTTGTTAGCCCCGGGCCCAACCCCCAAGCTGGAGGGCCACCCCCTATCGGCTGTCTGCGACTGCTTATTCAATATATTCACAGCTTCCCTCCAAAACTGGAGGGCGTCTCCTCCATCCGCAACCTGAGGACGCGCCATGCCGTGGTGACAGGGACCCACCTAACATGGACTGGTTAGTTTTCCTTACAGAATTGCAGTTTTTTTTTCTGTGGTACTTTAAACCATAAGAGTCTTTCTTTGGCTTGTGAAACCAGAATTATCTTCACAGGATCTGTGCTGCTTGTTGGATTGGGGAGTAAGGAATGGGAAGAAAGCAGAAGTGATGAACCTAAGTGAGAGAGTGGGAAGAAGGTTCTGAGTTTTTCCTCTAGTCAGTCAGAAATCATATTTGCTTGAATGCACGGCTCAACATGCTTCCAGTCATTCACTAACCATCCTACCATTCAGTGCTACTCATTATATGTTCCACATTGCTGAACCTCTTTAATTGTTACGATACCTACTTACTTACTTATGGAGCTGAGCCCTTCTTGAGGAGAAGCCAAATCTGCAGCTACTGAAGAATTTCCCATCATTTTATGGAACCCGAAGGTTCATTACCATGTTCACAAGTGCCCTCCACTGGTCCCTATCCTGAGCCAGATCAATCCAACCCATACCATCCCATCCTATCTCTTTAAGATCCATTTTAATATTATCCACCCACTTAATTGTTACAGTAAAAGTAAAGTATAGGTATCCCCTGTATCAGGCCGTGGAGGCCCTTAGGGTTGTGAGATGTTGAGGTTCCCACATTTTATAGACAATCAGCTCATAGATGTTGGCAAGGTTGTCAGCCCCATGTGCCGGCCGCCCTTTACCCCCAAGAATATTACTGGTACTCTTTTCTGTTAGAGGCTGAGTCGACCCCAGGGCCATAGTGTGGCTGGAAGGATTAGGAACATTGAACAAATCCAATGACCTGATTGGGACTTGAAACCGAGACCTTCTGGCATGTAGCATAGTGCTTCAACCAACTACACTACCGTGTACCCATCATTTAATAATAGTCATGACATACATAACAGAGCAAGATCTGTAGCTTGCTGTCTTTGTTATTGTTTCCGTAAAGCAGCACATGTCCCTTATACGAATGCAGCTGTGTGTATTCTCTCTTGAGATATCAGCACGTCACGTCCAGAGCTGCATGTAACACATGTAATTTGTGGACAGTGTTATTGAAATGTTGAGGTTTGGATTTTTCTTTGTTACTGAGCAAACTTATGTTCTGTTCATTTTAATGTGTTAGGTAAGACTGCAATTGCACTGGGAATGGCCCAAGCCCTAGGAATAGACACTCCGTTCACGAGCATGGCAGGATCTGAAATATACAGCCTAGAGATGAGTAAGACTGAAGCTTTGACACAAGCAATCCGAAAATCAATTGGTGTTCGAATCAAGTGAGTATAATTGCACAGTATTAATTTTTCCCTCCATAAGTTTCATATTCACATCACTGTAACCCGTTTCACTCAATCGCTGTTATCATGTTTCAAAACAGCTTTCATGATTATATTTATTTATGAGAAGAATGTAGTAGTTCCAGTAGAAAATAGGTATGTTCTGTAAGGTAAACCTTGAAAGTTACTGATGATATGTGAGATTCTCACAGTGATGATAATTAAGATTCTGGTCTTTTGGGTTATGGTACCAAGTAATTTAATAGATAGTTACCATTTCAGAGAAGAATGTTGCCAATACCTTGCCTCTCCTGATGGTGGAGGTAGCACGTTCCAAAACATTTGGTAACCACATACAGTTAACAAAATTATGTAGTTTCAGAAATTTACTATGTTACACTACAATAATTCACCTTTAATGTGTATGTGAACATAATATTTTTTCCTGTTCCTCACTCAGTCAATAAACTATGATCAACTTTAAAACATATTTCTGGAAATAGGGGGTTTTAAGTTTCCTAGTACTGATTGGGTCGGCATTCAGATTTTAACATGGAATAACAGTTTATAAGCTCATATAGGAGATTTCAAATCTTTGGATACTGTGAGTCTTTTGGCTATGTTTTGTATTGTGGGTAATAGCATTGGTATTGAAAAAATTCATTACTGACCCAGCTAGACTGTGTGCATGCACTATTGAAATAATGCAGCACGCAGCTGATGAAGGTTAAAGGTTTGTGCACATTCCATTTTAGTTTACTGATTTCTGGAGTAGTGGAAAGTAGTCTTGATCTTGCACGTGTCCAATAAGAAATTATTCAGGGATAGTGAATTGAGAGGCCATGGTGGAAATTTTCATAACCTCCATGCAGTCCAGTGATCTGTTAGTCCCTCATGTACAGATATGTTTATGAAAACTTGACAGTGCTTCGTTGTTCTTGTAATGCATTCAGATTTTTTATACAAGTGCACACAAAGTGATCTTCAAAAGCCATTCTCAACAGTAGCTTCAGTAACAATTCTTACATATTGCTAATATTGATAAATGCATCACTGGAAAGAAGTATTATAAACCGTCTACTGATCTCATGTAGATACTGACAATAAAAGGCATAGTGAAATAATAAGAACTTTTTATGGGATTTAGTGGGGATTTTAGGGATCCAAGATGCACAGATGAAATTTCAAGCCTGAAACTGTATATTGTAACGTGTATCGTTACTGATCCCACTTCTGACACCAAATGTAGCGTGTTTTGAGTTTGAATCTTGTTGGTCACATGTGTAAGTCTAATCCCACTTCTGACACCAGTTGTAACGTGTTTCGTTACTGAAGACACCATTCGGATTGTTAATTGATTTATTTAACAACCTACCAGTCTCGGCTACAATTAATTATAACAATGTTGCGGGGTTTCACAATTTATAACCCTATTGCGCAAATCGAATCACTATTGTCAGTAGGCTACACGTATTAATAACATGGGAGCTATACAAGTCTCTCTGAATTACACACTCCAAATATAACTGTACTACAGCACACACAAAGTCTTGAAAGCACACAATAAGTCTTCCACTCGCTGACTTCTTAGTTATCGCACACTGTCACATAAAATCTTGTAACCACGCGTTCGGGTCTTCTTACCGCGACTGCTGCTATATTTCAACTCAACTCGTAGACTGCTGCCTTGAGAACTCGTTCACTGCTCACTGGAGAACTGTCTTCGGCGACTGATGCCCTTAACTGACAACAACAACTGAACTTGGCAACGACCACATTTCAACTCAACTCGCCACTGGCTAGATTCCAACTCAACTCGTAGGCAGTGTGGTTCACTTATATAGTTGCAGCGCTTGCCTGTTACGCAATCAGTACCGCTGTTGGCTGTTACCCGTGTCACAGCTGCGTTGCATGTTATGTCACTGTGCGGGGGGGGGGACGGTGACGGAGTGCTGACTCACCTGCCACGTCACTGCGGGGGCGAGGGGTTGTCCTCCATTGCGCAACATGTCACAATATGTTTGTTCAGAATTAACTCCGTAACTTCTGACAGCTCTCTACACATTTTATATTTTTTAGCTGAAGTGTCTATTTTTATTATGTGGAACTAAAAATTGATGAATGAGAACCATCAGCCCATGAAATTTCTTAAAATTAGGGTTAGTTTCACATAGTAATCATTTAATACAGTTTTTAGAAATATTATGACTGCTAATTTTGTTACCACAGAGAGGAGACTGAGATCATTGAGGGAGAAGTTGTGGAGATCCAGGTGGATAGGCCTGCTACAGGAGTGGGTACGAAGGTTGGGAAGCTAACACTGAAGACCACTGAGATGGAGACTATATATGATCTTGGTAATAAGATGATTGAATCTCTCATGAAGGAGAAGGTGAGTATTTGCTTTTTATGAAGCTATGAAGATGCCATTATAACAGTGTTACTGATAACAGTGGGGCATGTGGTACTGTAGTTGGTTGAGGCACTATGCTACAAGCCGGAAGGTCGCGGGATCAAATCATGATGAGGTGCATTTTTTCAGTTTACTTAATTCTTCCAGCCGCACTATGGCCCAGGGGTTGACTCAGCATCTAACAGAAATGACTACAAGGAATCTTCCTTATGGGGTAAAGGGCAGCTGGCACATAAGGCTGACAACCTCAGCGCTATCTGTGAGCCAACTATCTAGAGAAAATGTGGGAGCCTCAACATCTCACAACCCTTTGGGCCTGCACAGCCTGTTACAGGAATACCTTGTCTTTTTTTTACTGATAATAGTATGACTCTCTTCGTATGGTGGTGAAAAAGAGTTTATTTTAGTCAGTAGTTTGCCTTGCTTATGCCATTTTATGTTGTGTCAGTCATATATGTGAATCTGTTGGGATCTGGCTGATCAAGAGAAGAAAGAATGTGCACAAAATTTTGTTTCAAGCATGGCACAACGTTTTCTGAAGTACATGACATGACAAACAGCCTTTGGAGGAGAAGGTGTTTTTTTATGGAAAGCAGTGCTGTTCAATGTTCAAAAGATGGATAGGCTTCTGTGGAAAATGGAGAATTTTGTGGATGACAAACTGCGAACAGAAAAACAAAATGTTCAATGGTTAATTCATTAAGTTAGGCTTCCTACTATTCATGATTTGCGAAAGAAATTAATTTTTTATATGGAAGCTGTGCACTCATTACATCAGTATCTGATGGTGAAGACAGTGTCCAGAGCATCAGTTTCATTCAGTATTGATTTGGCCTATTACCAGAAAAGGCTAAATTGCCAAGTAAATTGTATGTATTCATGATTGGAACTGGAGAAGTTAAGATTGTCTATACATAGGATTCTGTGATTTCAGCTGTTTGAGATCATGAGCGATTGGAAGCACCTTTGGAGTTGTACATTGACTCATTTGAAAGCTAATGTTGCTTGATATCAGGAGGAAGTTTTATGATCAAATTTATGAAGGCAGTGAAATTTAGTTATATCCAGTTACAACAGCACTAAATTCATAACACACATAAACTTATTTTATGAAGATGTATGAATATGTGCAATAGGTTGTGAATATGTGGTCTTTTGTATGATTATGTTGCTTTTCTTGATAATATTTGCATGTGGTTATGCGAAGTATAGTATTTTGACATAACTACCTAATCATTGCCTGTTGTGTGATAATAATTGGGAAAACACGTAGCAGTGCCTGGCCCATTGCTAGGCAACAGCTGGTACAGCAGTTGGGGAAATTCTGGAAATGGTTTCTCTGTAAGGTCTGTGCCAGAGTTATATAAGGAGACCTTAGACAGAGAATTAGTTACAGCAGAAAATAGACAGTCATAAATTGAGAGTCGATGGTTGGGGCAGTGAGTTAATTGAGAGTCACCAGCTGGTAAGGACATGAGCACAGAAGCAGAAGCATTGTCATGAGACAATGACTGATGAAGACAGCAAACTGAGAAGACTAACCATGTGCTGTAGTGAGAAGGAGAGTACAGGAATTAGTAAGAGCAATATAATTATATGTAGTTATGATTTATAAGTCTTCAGTAAATCCAGTTATCATCCTAAAGCCTATGTCTTGTCAGTAACACACGACAGTATCATGGAATGTGAATTAAATTATAAAGATCTGGAAGATTTTTCTTTTCAAAACAGGCACCTGAAAAATGGTCATTTGGACCAGTTTAGCATAATCGTGTCCATGAACTTTAATTTGCAACAAACAGGTGCTTGATATGTACAAATTACAGCAGCAGTATTTGTGACTGCATGAATTCACATCTTCATAGAACATATCTGAGTAAATACTATACATATGTGCCTCTTGTTATCAAGTGTGTTCAGCAAGAGAATAATGATAAATTGATTTTGGTGTATAAGGAATATTATTAGTCAATTGGTAGTACTAGAAAATAAACAGAAGCTACTTAGTATGACTTGAGACTCTGTTGGGAAAAGTCTTTACCTCTGCAGTGTACACAGTCCACACCTTGTAATGTTTTAACCTGTCTATCAAGACTATTACAAACTACTTCACTATTATGGTCAACATAATTACATCTTGGGCAGAATGTGGTTTTATCAGTGCATTGTGTAGATCTCACTTCAGACATTTTGTTATTTAATGAGGCTGTGCTTATGTATTCTTCATTATCAAGCGTCTTAATGCCTAAGTTGCTGGGTTAAATCACCATTTATTATGACACGATTCCTTTGTGAATAATTTCAACAGGCCATTCTGTAGTTATTTTATTAAGCTAAACATCTAATTACTTTAACTTCAGCATTTCAGTTTATTTCACTATGTTATATCAGTTTTTTAATATGATGCTATTGGTTTACAAACTTATGTCCTCAGGTTCAGGCAGGAGATGTTGTAACAATTGACAAAGCAACTGGAAAAATCAGTAGGCTGGGCCGCTCTTTCACACGTGCAAGGGACTATGATGCCACAGGTCCTCAAACAAGATTTGTACAGTGTCCAGAGGGGGAGTTGCAGAAACGAAAAGAAGTGGTACATACAGTGACACTGCATGAAGTTGATGTCATCAACAGTCGAACACATGGCTTTCTGGCCCTTTTTTCAGGTAACATCTTCACTCTGACTGGAATCACAAACAGAAATGACCACGTGTAGGGGCCTTCTTTGATGTCACAGTTTATTGTTAATTACAGTCAACTCTCGATTATCCGGGCTAATGGTGGGGATGGNACTGCCACTTGATTTAAAACTAGAATTATCACTAATATGTTTGTCATCACTTCCACTATTACAATCAGTCATCTTACGATTCCTTCAGAATGTCTCTTTTGCACAGTGCAACTGCGAACATGGCTGCCCATGTTGTCAGCCATGATGTAAACTGATGACGACATAAGACTCCAAATGTTCCACAGACAATAGGGACCACTGAATGACATGCCAGCTTGTGAGAAATAAACTAAAATAATCCTTAGTGTCTAGATTGTGCATTGAAACAGCCAAAAATGCATAGAAGTTCACTGAAAAATATTTTCTTTTAGAATTTGAGTCTTTAATCTTGGCTTCTATTTTGGACACACTGGCCATTCCATTATGAATGGCTATAGCTTCAAGGCTTCATGTATGTGGCATTTTGAAATGTTCCTGCGGATTGTTTATGTTGTGTTTGGTTTATACAGGATGTCCCAGGAGGAATGGACCAAACTTCGGGAGGGTGTTCCTTATGTTAAAGTATGCCGATATAACCCAAAACACCTATGTCCAAAGTTGAACGGTTACGGAGATAATGGCCCAAGAAAAGTGTGGTCTTCTGGCAGGTCCGCGCACTGTACCTCTCAGCTGAGAGGCCTTATCTATGTTTGTCCTTGAGTGCCATGATTCACCCTAGCCGTGCTTATGTAGTTGGCTTATACCAGAACGCGCAGTCAGCACGTTACATCAGCGCTTGCCATTCATGTGTCATGTATAGTGCTTGGAAACCCTAAGGACAATTATGACATGGCGAGCGAGTATTTTGTACTTCAATTTTATGGCTTCATGTCACTCACAAGTTAGTTTGATGTTACGTACATTATTAACATTACAGAATCCACATATTCCTGCCAGTTTTAATATGTATTTTGTAATCAACAAGTGTGCAACGCCGGTCAAAGTTTGACACTTTTCTGGCCATTATCTCCGTAACCGTTCAACTTTGGACATAGGTGTTTTGGGTTATATCGGCATACTTTAACATAAGGAACACCCTCCCGAAGTTTGATCCATTCCACCTGGGACACTCTGTATATCTTGAATTGTGTTGGTTCTGGTGTCTGGAGGTAGGGAGTTGCTCTGTTGATTGGGCCCAACTGAATAGGCTGTTTACCTGAGGACAGAGGCAGAGTCCAGTCTCTGTAATGCTGTTTTAATTAAAAAGCAGGACAAATAATAATGTCCAAAAAGTCAGTAGTTGTATATCATGAACTTTTAAATCTTAAGCCCTTATGTGCCTCTATCATGTCTTGGTTGCAGCACAGTATACAAACCACTGTGATTTTGACAGGTAGAAAATTACAATCTTATAGTGATTCCATTTTGGAATCAGAATATTGGTAAATTCTGTACTTATGGAATGCATCTGAACAGAAGTTATGAATTGCACCAAAAGAGGGACAAAATATTGCAAAAGGAAGTGTCATATCCTTATTCATTGTTACATGGATGTTTTGATGGTAAATGTTTCTCCTGTGTTTATTTTGGTGATGGATAAGACTAGCATGTAAACCTCGTTATCATCATCCTTTCCAGTATTTAGTGTGTTATATCAGATGTCATCTTGAACTCCTTTTTTCTTCTCATTATTGTGGTATCCTGTCAGTATGTTTCTTTCCAGTTTCTTCTGTGTTTTTCTATAAATTCTGTTCTTTGTAAATTTTGTAGTTCTGTCATCATATTTTAATTTCTTCTGCAGTCTGGAAAAGTGTATCAATCAGTTTTCCTCCTCGTCATATAAATATAAATTGTTACATATATTAAAGATTAATATGAAAGTCTCTCCTTTCCATAGGTGACACAGGGGAAATCAAAGCAGAAGTACGAGAACAAATTAATGCAAAGGTTGCTGAGTGGAGAGAAGAAGGGAAAGCAGAGATTGTTCCAGGAGTGCTTTTTATTGATGAGGTGTGTATCAACATACTCTCTTTCTCATATAACATGTTGAGTTATACTGATGGACTCTTTGTGTAGAATCACATGGGGGAATGTTTCTTATTGCTTGTTTCAGATACATAATTTCCACACAGAAACAATTTATATTGCTTGTTTATAATCTTAAAGAGAGATTTCTTTTGTCTATTGTGGCTGAAGTTTATGGTACTAATTAACAGCGATCAAGTAAAATCGAATTTTTGATCACACTGAACTACTACACATATAAAAGACTATGTACACATCTAATCATATCGTACTTAGTAAACACCTAAATTCTGAAATTGTTGGAACAATAATAAAGCAGATATTTACTGTATAATATTTTTATTACATAATGCCTCATTTCTAAGACAGGCAAATGAAACTGGACTACCAGAAGGCAACTAGGTGAATTACAGAATAAATTAGTGTCTTTCTGATAGTCCAATTTGATTTGCCTTTTCTTTGTGAATCAAAAAATGAGAAGCCAAGTCAGTATAGTGATGGGGTATGGGTTGGTTGGCTGAGGAATTAGGGTTTGATTCATGGGAGTGGTAAAAGATTTTTCTCTTCTCTGCATCATCCAAGACTGGCTCTGGGGTTGACGCAGTGGGTACTAGGGGAAATTTTCCCAGGTGTAAAGTCTCTGGGGTGTGAAGCTGACCACTCACCTCCATCTGGTGCTATACCTCTACTCCCCTATATGTCTTCATGGTATAATGCTTAATTATTTAAGCAGTGGGATAGCTTTATGTTTAATACCATGACAGCAACTGAATTTGTGGAGATGCACTAGTGAAGCTCATTTTCTGAGCTCTGGATATTGGGCTTCTAGTTTTTGACACTGTACCCTGACTGCTGCTGATGTTTGGAGGAACCTGCTGCCTTCATCTTCAATGAAGTGAATTTCGAATTTAAGTTGTATGTGGGAGGCAAGCTTTTCATACCTTAAATGGTGGTTTTGGAAAGCAGAACCTAAAATGACTGCTAAACTTAGTTACAGTCTATAATAAGGCACTGATCTGTGCTCATTTAATAAAATAACAGTATTTTTTTTTGTTTCTCAGAATGTGCCACACACCAACTTACCTCTTCAAGAATTGAAGCTTTACATAGAATTACATTGCTTAATGATAATAGAGGCAGCACAAAACACTTTGCAATCTCATTTTGCGACATAGATTATTTTCCACCTCCTGAATAATTTTCAGTTTTTGACTTACTGTTAATTTCTTTCTTCTTAACACCATGACCATGCACTGCTTCAGACATCACTTACGAAACAACTACAGCACTTGAACACAATGCAGAAAAACAAACAACAGCGACCTTCAGTTGATGCAGGATGTCCTTGAACTATGCAAGGGTTGCCACATGCAAGTTGGAGCATTCAGAAAAATCCTTTTATTGCTAAAATGAGATCTGAATCGCATAGAAATCAAAGTTTCATATGCATAATTTGGATAGACCCTTAAATTCAGGGAAATAAAACATTAAATGTGGTCCCTTAAATTGGGGTTTCACTGTGGTTGGTAACCACCTACCATATTCCATGCTGCCATGCCCAGAATGAAGTTCAAGTCCATTTGTTGGTTAATTTCAGGTTCATATGTTGGACATTGAGTGTTTCTCATTTCTGAACCGAGCTCTGGAGAATGAAATGGCTCCTGTAGTGATCATGGCTACTAATCGTGGCATTACACGCATCAGGGGCACCAATTACAAATCCCCACATGGTATTCCAATAGATCTTCTGGACAGGATGATTATAGTTTCAACATCACCTTATCAAGAGAAGGACTTGAAGGAAATTCTAAAGATAAGGTATGGCAGTATCATAGCTTATATTTACTTCTAACCTGTAGTAATAACAGAAAGCAGTTGTGATCTACATCTCCTTTGTTATTGCATATTTTATTGATATGTGGTGTAATCCTCTTGTAGACTTGCCCCCTGTGCATAGAATCTGTGCTATAAGGATCAGTGTTTTGAGCGGTAATTTACAATGTTTGCATTCTTTACTGGAATTCATAATGGAGATGTCAGGTTCATCTGCATATTTCTGTGCATGGTTGTATGAGACTTGATGCCCCCCTCCAGTGAATATATAATCTCTTTTGGTATGTAACTGTCCATTACATCACCTAATTTATGTGAATGTCAAATTTAACTTGAAGTTTCTCAGATGTGGATCACTACAAATCTGAGCACATATCATAAACCTCTAAAACTCTGAATCAAGATGTTTTGTGATAATATGTACATAAAAAATGTGAGGAGAATTTAATTCATGCCTTTGAACATAGCAGTATGTCATGATGTGCTTTGCTACTATTAAAGTTTGACTCATCGTTGTAGTATCTCCTGTTGAGTAGCATGTGTCATCAGTAGGTTTGTATTTGCAATAAGTGAACACCAAGGCCACTGAAAGATCAAAAAGTGCAAAGGATATGTTTGTAAACTCTTCGTTGTTATGTAATACGAGGGGGTACCCAAAAGAAACCGAACTTATTTTTTTTTTAACTTATTTATTCAAATTTTAAGCACAAACCTTCAGTCCCCTTCAAAGTACTCTCCACTTACACTAATACACTTGTCTAGTCTTTTATTCCATTTTTCAAAACATTGTCTAAATTCATCTTTTGAGATGCTTGAGAGCGCCTCTGTCGTTTTTTCCTTTACCTCAGCAACATCAGCAAAACGCTTTCCTTTCATATCTCTTTT